AAAATTTGATAAAAACTCACAAACCTGCGGAAAAATGGAAGTTTCTTCACTTTGATTATTTTGACGAGAGCCTGATTCCACCACGCTGCCTCACATTTATATTACGCTGCGAATGAGAGATACGGTCAATATGTTTAAAATCCAGAAAGGTGTAGAATCTAATGGTAAGGGATGTCTCACTATTTTACCGGCGTGAACGCGATATATTTCATAGTACTGGTTTCCATTGAACCGTAGATGGAAGAAATTCACTGCATCTTGATACACAACCCCCCTCCCCTTCCTCGACTGCTACAAGAGTAAAGTAAAGTTATTTTCAACACTGTAGTTTGTTTAAAAGGAACAACTACAATAAAAATTCCACTTCCCTTTCCAAAGGGATAGCCTAGGAAACTTCCCACAATAAGTTCATACATTCTCAGATAGGGATTCGAACTACAGCCTGATACCGAATGAGCTAACTGCCTGACCGTCTCTCTTCATGTAAAGAGAAAAGTTTAGAAAAAAGAATTTTATTGATTTATTTACGATCAGTAGGCTTTTGAATTAAACAACAAACAAAAACAAAGATGATGCTGCTTTACTGGACTCGTAATCTGACGTAGCGTCCTTGAGAAAGGCACTTTCAATGACTTTTCCAACTTGGCACTGTCCTTTCGGAGATGGTCGATAAATTCAGAGGCCCTGCCTCTTGCAGTTTCAATCAAATTATATAATTTGTGGTTGTTTGAAATAAATGGTTATAGCATGTTTTGAAACAATCCTTAATTTAAACATAAATAATAAAAACAAAATTAAAAACTCCAGCCTCTATCTTGAGAGAAAAATATGCGGAAAGTCGAATATCGAAGGTAACAAGTTTCATTCACAAATTGCTCTACGAACAAATTATGTTTTGTTTCGCTGGTATTCTGATTGTTTTGAATAAAGTTAATTATCGAATACAACGCAAGAGATCGATACCAAAGATCACACATGACAAGACAGTCCACGCCTCTCTTTGAGCCAATCGAAAAACTCTCCTCAAAATCCGGTGGCGCCCTCTTCCAAAAAGTGCGGACTTTGCGAACAACAGAGTGACCCTTGACCTACTTGTGTGAACAACAGAGTGACCCTACTTGTGTGGACAACAGAGTGACCTACTTGTGTGAACAACAGAGTGACCTACTTGTGTGAACAACAGAGTGACCCTA